CATTCTGGTACACTGATCCTTTATTAGTCTGGTAGGGATATCATCTTCAATGATTTGGGCTGGACGCAATTTCAGACATGTGTACCTAAGCAGAAATTACCATTTTTTCAAAATATTGAGTCCACCATTCCAATTGATTGCCAGGGGTTTTAACAGAAATGCAAGAAGGACTTTTACTGAGAAAGCTGAGTGTAGCGCCTAGATACAGGCACCCTGGGTGGGAGTTTCTAAAGCATTCAGTTCATTAACGTAAGACTACTTCCACTGAAAATGATAGTTTTAGCAACAGCTTTGAATGGACAGAGTAGAGCTATTCTAGAAAAATTCTGAAAATCCTACCTTCCTATTTTAAAACGCCTTTTTCAGCTGACAGGTAGCAGCAGCTGTAGATGCTAAAAGTAACTTTTGTTATGTCGTGCTCTGTCATTGCTGGAGCACTGACCGTGCAAATGTACACAGATGGACAATTTGTCCCTATTCGATATGACTTTTCCCTGGAAAGCCATGGCCTTCTTACCTTCTCTCCTTTTAACTGCTTCTAGTTTGGTGGAAGCTTATGGGGTTAGTCTGTAGGCAATTACTGCAATTTCAGAGTAATCATTCTTTCATTAGGGTGGTGGTGGTAAATAGGTACAACAGCAATTAAAAATCCATTAGTAGTTAAGGTAATCTCTTAATGTGAAGCATAACTGCAACTACAATGGTATTATCTATACAACATTGATTCCATGATATTAGCTGCATAAGCGTGGATCATCTTCATAATGCTTTGGTTCTCTCTCTCTCTCACACATCTGTATGATTTTGAAACTGGTATTTTTTTTTTAATATTTATGTACACCTGAGTGAAACTATGTATGTATATGTGTATGCATATGCATAAGCATAAGTATATAATTGAAAGGAAATACGGTGCGGTTATTGAAAGCTGAGCTAAACAAATTATATTTTTATATCATGTATTATTAAATCAGGCACTTAGACTATAAATAAACAAAATAACATATTCATTAATAGCTCCTAATTAAGAATTTAAGAAAACTGTAAAGTAGCAGGCTCAAAAATCTGTGTGATCTCTTAAAGGCTAAAACTTTATGAAGAATCAAGTTCACTCTAGTGTGATATGAGCAGAAAGAATTCTCCTGTCACACAGCAGATGGACCCCAGAAATGTTCACTCTCAAAGTATCAACTGATGTTGACTGAAAGCTATCTAGACATACAGAGGAAAGCTTTATTCCTCTTTTATTTGCTAGCGTCCAGAAAACCTTCTGTAAACATAAAAGAAAGTTTACTAACAAAATACAAAATCAGTCTTATAAAGAGTTGATTCTAATTGTGCACTGAAGTACGTAATGCAGGGGAATTTTTCTTTTGATTCTAGTCCAGACATTTCAAGGGTCTTTTTATGTCTGCCTTCTAAAAATGAAGGTTTGCAGGGAGAACAGTCACAGAACTAGAGCTATCATTTCAGTTCATGTGTCTGGCTGCCATCTTTGCTATGAGTGATCTTTTGTAAACAAACTTAAGATCACACGATGTTTCATCTTTGGGCAATGCAAGAAGGATGTCATGTCACTGCAGCACCTGAAGAAAACTTTAAAAAAATCTGCCAGTGGTTAGAAAAGCCCTTAATTTGCCGTACATTGGTGGAACCGCAGTAAATCTGTAGCTGCCACATTTTGCACATTATATTAAATATGTCAATGATGGTAGAGGATTGGTCTCCCACAAAAGTAGAGATGAAACAAATAAGGCTTGTTCAGTGATTCACAGTGTCTCATGACCCTATAGGTTTAGATGTGAATTACATATTAAACACAAGTGGTGTCCTTTAAAATTCATGGTATACATACTTTGAAAACACGATGACATCAAAGGGAGTTGATGATGTAGTTTGACCTACATCTTGATTATGATTAGTAGTAAACCAGCCACATGAAACTGTTGTTAATGATACTGTCCAAGGAATGCAATTAAAATCAATTTTTGTTTGCTTAAACACATACCCTGGGCAGAGGTATGAACAAGAAAATCCCTGTTAAGTTATTTTATGGCACTATGTTGAGAGCAATGGCAGCACATTCAGGAATTTCAGGCTTTCTTGTGAAGTCCTGTGCAAATTGTTTTACTGCAAGGTAGGAGCTTTCTGATGTTAATGTTAGTTGAAGTAATACTGCCAAATAGCTGTACAGTATATCCAGACCCAGAGGCTCCAGGACAACATCACAGTTTAGCACTAGAAGATACCGTGCCATTCATTTTGTCCTAACAACTTTCCCTAGTTATAGAGCATTAGGCAGAGGACAACTGTACAAAAGAATCCACACATATCTACCATTTCTCTGACTTTTTGTACACAAAAATTACCTTAACTCTTTGAAGTCAGTGGGAAGAATTTTTTTTTTTTAACTTTTTTTTTTTCCCCACCATGGAATTTAATGAGGTCAGAATAATTGAGACAACTATTTCACTTTGGGTTTTGATTGCATAATCAAGACCCACCAGTATTTACTAAATTCCAGGATACATTCATACCTCCATCTATATCAGTGGCACATATCCTACTAAATGTCAAGATTCACCTTTATTAGAATATTAGGACATAATTGTCATTTGCTGATTGGTCCAGTTTAGGCATAGCATCCTAGATGTAGCATAATTTCATGGAAACAGTGAATGATATTACATGACAGTTGCAAAATTAGGTTAAATATAATTTTAGAAAATAAAAATATAAATCAGCATACTTCAATGAAGAAAAGACCAATGAAATATTTTTTTCTTTGTGGAGAAGTTAAGTTTTATTATTCTTTTTGGTTTCAGGAATACTCCTTCTTGAAATGAATACACTCCAGTAAAAGTGTGTTTCCATTTGTGTAGTTTGTTTGTAACTATTTAGTAGTACTAAGCATATGTAATTCTTTAAAAAGGCAAATTTTGAATTATTGAACATTATCATGACTAATATTCCGTTTAGCCAGAAAGTGCCACAACTGCATTTTTTGTACAATATTTAAAAGTAAAAGCACATTAAGTAACAATTGCCATGGTTAAATTTTCATATTTTCTTCTTTGTCATAAAATGATCTTTCTCACTATTTTAAATGCCAGTTTTATAGCTTTTTGGTTTTGGTGAAAAAAACCCTCATTGTGTTCTGGTGAGCTTATCGCAATACAGAAATGAGGGTGAGGCAGTGAAATATGAGATAGTAGACACTTTTTCGTAAGCTAACACTGACCCCAAAATGCTCTTATCTCCTGATGAAACAACTGGCAATAGCATCAGTTTGGGTGATGCAGTATGGAGAATGAATATTTTTACAAAGTAATTTGAAGAGATATTCATCTGAACTGACGTAGATATGTGCCTCTGAATTGTTCTAAACTCTTGCTACAGTTGAGGGAGAAAGGCATTTTTAGGATGTGATTCATTTTGTCCTGATGTGCACACCTAAAACAGATTAAAAATGTGTCCTAGGAATGCTATTTCTCTGCGGAAATGATAAAGGAAAACTAGAATGAGCAACTCATGCAGCCATATATACTGTAGATATCTAAAATTACCAAAAGAGTTACCAAATGTCACAATGACAAATGCTGTGATGCCATTTATATCATGTCAGTGGATGCTTGAACATTATAGCTGTAAGGTACAAAGTTGATATAACCCGTTACTTAAAATGTAACAGCCCACATGTACTAAAACTTACGCTAAGGAATCACTATTTACCTGGATATTTTGTCTGAAATTTTGGGGAGCTGGCGGCACCTCTGGCCTTCCGTATAGAATAATGTTTAAGTTTCTAAAGGCCAATAACACTTTTCACTTGCAAATTTTAAGACATTTAATTTCAAATTGGTTGATTGCTATTCCAGGTTGTTACTGCTAAATTTTAGGCATCTGGCATTAATTAATTCTCATATATGTTTCTGTCCTTCCATATAGAATAATGTTTAAGTTTTCTAAAAGCCAGTAACACTTTTCACTTGCAAATTTTACGACATTTAATTTCAAATTAGTTGATTGGTATTCCAGGTTGTTACTGTTAATTTTTCAGACATCTGGCATTAATTAATTCTGATATATGTTTCTGCTAATGCCTATAAAATTTATCAGAAATTATTAAAACATGAGAAAGTCGGCTCCTTAGGAAGTGTTTACAGTGTATGCCATTGCATTAGCTATCTCTAGTTCTTTACTACATTGTGTGGATTCAATAACAGTCCATCTTTCTGTATCCAAGCATAAACATAGATAAAATATTTCTGTGTTAATTGTGGGTCTTAGTCAACTCTAACTAGAACATGAAAAAAAGTCAGATTCTTTTCTATGAAGAAAATTAATTAAAAGGTGAATGTTTTTAAACATAAATATGTCCATTATTTATGTTACCCTTATGGTAGTGTCTGAGGTTTACTATGGATTACATCTCAAATGAAGACCCACAAGAAGATTATATTTATAGTTATATTAAATCCTTCCCTTCAGTACCCCTAATAAGTTTTTGTAACCATTCTACTAGCTCAAACATTTTCCCCTTGAAATTTTTCTTTTTTCTTTCTCTTTTCCTTTATGCACCTGTATCTCCTGAAACTAATTTGGGGCATTTCATCACAGAAATGTATTCCATATGACAGCAGATCTGCATACAAAATTGCTAAGGGCAAATAGGCAGAGATTGTACAATAAGTAGAGACAACATGACATTACATGAATGTTATATATATTTGCCTTAATAAATTTTCTTACATCTTTAGCAAATGTAGTATCTTGTGCATTTGCTGTGGATTGGGATAATTTATTACAAAAAAACACTATCTGAATGGAAAAAGGATTCTAAATTTCATATTACAAGTATATATTGAAGAACAAAAAATGAATGAATTGCAGAACCAACCCCAAATAACTTTTTCCTCTTTAAATGTCCTTGAAGAAGATTTCAAAGTCATAGGGATGGGTGCAGTGCTGTCATTTTCACAGATTTCATTTTAATTCAGGACTGTGGTTCTCGAATTCGTCCAGAGGAGTCCTGTGGCTTGCAGCCCCTGTCTCATGAATACCTCTCAGCAATTTCACAGACGATGTTTAAGACCTGTGAAGCTGGAGACACAAAAGGTTTGTACTTAATCCTCTTTCTTCTGAAAATTAACACATGCACCTCACCAAAGTAAAACTAGAAATGTTTCCTCTTTTCTATGGACATGCACTAACACACACAGTAAATTTAACTAATCACTTGTAATAGTTACGGATTTTTAAAATCAGGTTAATTAGTTTATGTGACAATTTTTTAAATAAGTTTCTAATCAGTGATCCACCACTGCTTGTGTTATTGTCATGTAGCCTTTAAAATGCATTGAAATATTTCCATCAAAACCATTTAAAATAAAAATGCTCTAGTTTAAATGGAAGGGATCATCTACTCAAAATAAAAATTAACTTTAGAAAAAGAACACAACATTTTGATCCATTTGAATTTTATATTTCCACTTCTATATTGGAAACACAAAAACAATTTACAATTTCAAACAGTAAAGTATATGTTCTTATATATACTGATACCTTAAAAAACAAAATGGGCAAATCAAACATTGTACAATAACTAATACAATCAAGACATCTCAAGACATTCATGTTTAGGTCACTGCTGCATGAAGATTTATGCAAGTATACTTCAAGAAATCTGAGTAATCCACAGGACTACTCAAGTGAGCAGTCTTATTCATAGCTTAAGTTGTTGCTGGGTTAGACAGTAAGTAATTTTGTTCAATTCTTTGTTAGGCAAATGAAAAATAACCCAACACTCCTGTATGGTCTACTAACATAACTGTATTTTTTATCTTGCCATAGATAGGAGCAGCTTCTCACAGCAGTAAATTTGCACGAACTCATGGAATAATCAATACAAAGTAAAAGGAATGTGGGGACTGCCTGAATGCATCACTTCATGTGAAGCAGAGGCATATATTAATTTTATGTTACAAGAAGGGAATGCACAAAGGAGACACTCTCGTACCTAGCAGCGTGTTTTAATCACACAACAAGTTGTGAATCGTAACGAAGCACAACCCATCCTATGCTACTATATCAGGACACAAGGTTCCTGACTAGAAAGCCCAAACCAAATCCACAGAAGAGTCCTTCTCAGGGAGGCAGTCTGTTTCTCCTGATAAATAACACGCTACTTTTGAATACTGCATCTAGCTAAGTGAAGCTGAGTATAAAATATCTTTTACAGCCTTATTGCAAATAATATACACAATTAAAATGGAAACAAACTTCGGGAGGTGTAGTCTCAAAGGACAAGTGTATTAAACAGGGAAGAATAATTTGTGCTTATAAAGCGAAGATTTACCAAGAGGTGCCTAATGAGCCCAGAACTGGGGTTTGCCATATCTGGCAACAAGTGGCTGTATAGTTTTAATGTACGTCACAGCTTCCAACTGGAACTGGAAAGCATGGGGTTTTGTGGAAAATCATTCCAGATTTGTAACAACCGAATGATATCCCAATCCTGGCAGTGAGTGTTTTCCTAACACATATGGGAGCAATTGCACATTCCCAGCTAAAGCAGCAACATCTCTTTTGCTAAAGTAAGTTAAATTTTCAGAGAGGCCAGGCAATGTCATTTCCTCTCAGAAGAAAACTCAAAACTTCTGCAGAAGTAAGGCCTCATCATTCGCTGTTCTTAAGCCAGGGAACAGCTTAGTTATATAGGGATACTGAGGTACTATCACAGCAAAATGTATCTATGCTGGCAACAGCTTGTCTTTGTGCATCTGTAGGCAGAGTCTGAGGCAGAGCAGCAGAGACAGAGATGAAACTTTAGTTCCTCTGACATTAATGGTAAAACTTAGAAGTCTGCTTTGCAGTTCAGTACAACCACGATTTCATGCCTCATTTCTAGTCCTTTGATGCAGTGCAGAGACAGTAGGTCAGGGTCTAACCAAAGGCAGAACTGGCCTCCTCCTGTCCTAGTCAGCATGGCACTATTCTCTGGAGGAAGCTCAGCATCTTACCAAATATGTACTTAATTTACACCATTTCTTTCTCTGTCTTTTTTGTTTTTAAAAATCAAAAAATACAAATTGGAATATTCAG